AGAGTCTCCAATTGTGCGACCATTGAGTATGATTAAATTACACTCCATGCACATATCGATTAATTTTCTGCCAAATTTATTTACACTAGATTTAGAATTTATATCCATATTTTTCCTAAAGCCAATCTGGAGAACCCGGGCAAGTAGTGCAGGGTGTTTAAATAGATAGATAGATAGAATTTTTATTTGGAACGTACCAATGAAAACTTGAATATGAATCAGTTTTTTAAAGGAATAACCGAAATGTCGTCAACATTTAATGTCGGTACAACATTGAGCAGTTACAAATGTATTAGCATTAATAGACGCCACCGTCGCGCAGGGGACAGAGAGTTCGATTGAACCATGGAGGTAGAAAAGAGATCTCTTTTTCTACCTCCATGATTGAACCAAGTACAGCTCCCTGGATTGAACTTATAAAACACGCCCTCTGTAGTCTGATGTTGCCGTCATAGGTGGCTGCATTAGTATCTCCTCAGCCTCAGGTAACCTTCAAGTTTATGTTCATTCATCTCAATACACATAATCATTTTTTTACATAGATTACTTGGAGGAAAGGGTTCTTTATGGCCCCTCACCCCTAACCTGAACCCTAACCCTAAAACTGCAGCTCCAATGTGTCCCTCCAAATAATAATAAGTGACCCAAAGAATGACAATTGAAATGTGTAATAATTATGAGACAGTTTATCTGAGGGAAAGGACTGGTTTGTTTATTTAACCAACTGATGACTGAACCCTGGTTGCTAGGTGCTACTGAGCATGCTTGCATAATTAATTACAAGACAAGACTAGGTCAAAGGTCACGATAATACAGAAGTAGAATACTACAAAATGGAGGAGGGGTACTGGAGGGGCAGGGTTAGGATTAGAGTTATAGCAAGAACACTTGCAACACTTGCCTATTTAAATTGAAAAATTATTACAAAAAGTAAAATATATTCTTTGTAACATAAGAACCTAAATACAAACAATTTCTAATCAGGGACTAAGCTGGGCAAGATATTGTTACCAGAAAGCATAAACACTGTTTTACATTCAAAAACATTTCAACAAAACATCTAGATTTGGCTAGTTTTTCGTTGAATATTTTAATAATATTTGTGGCTTAATTGAGCAGATTAAACGGCCACAGAACACAAAATATCCAGTCAGTTTATATTTAATACTTGTACCATGGCTGCCTTTAATTGACAAATGCGCATTCTAGAATTCTCATGGTTACTGACATTTGCTGTAACCTGGTTATAGCATGGTGTATCAAAGCAACGACAAATTACAAATTAACCTATATATATTCATAAGACAATTTGATTGGTTGAACCTCCCCAATTCATTCGAGTTGTACCGGTAGTATAAATTAGTTAAATCATGGTCATATGAGTTATAATGCAAATAAAAATCAAGAGCAAATATTTAATTACATAATTGAATGCCTTTAAAATGTGTATAAAATCTGATATATTGTATATGCTTCATTCTACTTGTATTTGTAATATTTTTTTTTATTATTTTCTGATTGTTTTATTATTATTTAGTACATTGTAAACACATATATCATTATGCAATAAAAAAATAAATGGATAAATAAATAAATAAATAAAGCAAGCCAAAATTATGATCTTATTTAATCAGATGTGTGAACTAAACTATTTTAACACATCAAATCATGCATATCTGTATGTAATTAACCCAACACATCATTGAGATTTAAGGTGTGATGACATATTTATTGAACTTGGCTGGGGTGTGTATATTCACTAGCACAAAATGTTTTAGAATTTTTCCACCTTTTATGTTACATTGGCAAGTTACCTCATAGTGCTTTTAGGTATCACTACATATCAGCCACAAAAAAACTTACAAGGAAAACCGCTCGAAAATATTTTCCGCATTGAACACATCCCTGGTTCCCACCTGAAGTATCCTGAGGGTATACTAAACAAAACGAGGTTGGTAACTAGGAATGGTATCCGCATTTTAATTGGTCAGTCAAGCTTTTCCTTTATGCTCAAAAGTTGGGCAATTATTTAATTGTTTTATTTGTTATCACTTTGCACAATAATAATTAGATAGCAAGAACCATCTCAAGTACTGTAAATGCATTAATTATTAACTGGGTTTTAATTTCACCATTTCTGCTGATAAGTAAAATTAGGCTAAATTAAAACTACCGGGTACGTGATCATGTAAAATAACATTGAAACTCGTCGTGTCCTTGACAAATTCATGAAATTAAAACACAGTTAATATGCTCAAAACATCAAAATAGTGAAATTAAATGTCAGTGAATATAAATGTTTTTACAGTATATTACACATGCTAACTCAAGTATGTGATATTTAGAAAACAACCACGGCTTATGCAGATTGGCTAATTTGAATATTATACAATATACAAATTAGCATTTTTGACTACATAACTTACGCTGTGTGGCGGTGATATTTATTTATTCAGTTATTAATAGTCGTAATGCAATTCGTTCAAAGTGGCACATATAAATCACAAGGGGGTGCTGCACCCCTGTTACCCTCTTTGGGGAGAACACTGACTTCTGTATATATGAAGGTATTTATATAAAACATTTGTTGTGTTTTTTTGTTGTTCTCGACAGGTCATTGGCCATTTGACATCCAATGTGAAGTCTCCAGATTGGAAAACTGAGGTGTACGTTGACTCATGGTCACATTTGAGTGTTGTCATATGTTTGAATCGTAAACACATTGGGCCATATGTAGGTATAGCATTTACCAAAATTATTTTACCAGTATTTAAATTTATTTATTTTTATTTTTTTTCATTTAATTAAATAACAAAAAACACCAAAACAAACACAAATGCACACAAACAAAACAAAGGAAAAAAGCCACCTTAGACTGAATTTGATTTTGATGACTTGATTTACAATCCCGTTATGATCAATTTCGCTGCATTGATGCAAACAAGCAGCTTCTAACTGGAAATAAATTCAGTGAACTGTGTCCCTGGTGATTTATTATTGAAATTTGGATGTGTGCATTGCAATGTCTTATGGTTCTTTTCTGAGATAAGTGTAAGATAGGTTCTTTTCATTAGTTGAGGCTCTCTTGTATTAGGTGAGAATCAAATTTTTCTGACCAACTCTATGGTCATTTCATTTCCCTCCGAAAAGGGGGGGGGGCAGGGAGGGAAATGTGGGATGGCTGTTTTCTCATGAATTTGATGGGAGACCCTCACACCAATTGACATCAAACAAACAAATAATCTGACTTTAATAACAATGTTATACAATTCATCTTAGTTCAAGAGAGTTATATTTACTTGTCAATTCCATGTGTTTTTAGAATTTATGTACCCCGGTAGTTATGCTTTATCTTGGTAAGAGGTTCCACATTAAAGAGTTTAAATCAAATTAAAAATAATGTCTTTTCCACGGTATTATCATTATTATTAAAAAAACAATTGGGATCAATTAGGGAAGAAAAATCAAAAATTTTATGGAAAATGGTTAGAATTTACGTTAGCATTTGTGCATTGATTTCTATGGTGAAATTATTATTTCATATCTCAAAATTGTTCTTGGTCATATATTATAAATAATTTGAATACTGATATTGTTAAAACAATTCAAAACATTTACATTTAAAGGGCGGTGGTTACCATACGAGTCTCATATGAACAAAGATGGTGATCTTGACTGTTACGCAGACCAACGAGTACAAACTTGGATGTTACTAAGTTTTAACTATGTAATTTCTTTGGTGATTGAAAAGCATCAAGACAATTCGTACATGTACCGCCTGGGTCAAAATTTATGCACATTGTATTGTGGGAAAAACAATGTTTGTCAACAGAAATGTCACACATGTGCGGCGCAACGACCACCGCACTTTAATTGCATTTTCCAGTGTGATAAATATTTTCCATTATAATAGAAAGTTCTTTCTAGTAATGGATTGCATATACATGTGCAGTTTGATTGTAATTCAAATTCACCTCAAACTAACTTAAAGCGTAAATACTGGTATTTTTCAGATTACCCTAAGTGATACCGATATTTATCTTCATTCAACATGCTCAGAGAAACTAAAGGAAATTTTACTTAATAGTACTGTTATTGACTGGGGAAACACAGTGTTCTTTGATGGTAAGTTTGGCATGTTAATTAATTACTTGTGTGCCCTAATTGTGTTTATTATGATTCACCATAGGATTATTCTAAAATGTATATACTTATTTTGTCTAACTCGTCTAAAACATGCTTTTTGAACATCATGTGGTTTTAGATTGTTGGTAGAAATTGGTAGGAAACAGAGAAGTAAATTATTCAAGGAAATCATTCAGGTTCTTTACTTTTTCATTTGAGTAGCTCCAAACATGATTGTGTTTTAATTTTATCAACAGGAATTGATGATGCTTTGTTACCAGACTTGCAAGAAATCGCACCTCAATCAGGAAAACTCAAGTTGGAATTTTGTGCCAACATTCATTTACATACAAATACTGACAGATTGAATTGGTAAGTAAGTTGTACTTTGAAAATCACGCACTGACAGTTTGATAGGTAATTATTCACTCTGTTCATGCACATATGTCATATTATATATGATTTAATCATATATGTGGGTGGACCAATCAGATAGATTTGATTTATTCCTGATCAGATTAATAACTGTTTTTGTGATCTTGAAAATGGCTACTGTAAAATACTTTATTTTGGCTGAAATTAATTTTGGCTGAAAAGACTTTTTGGGTGTTTTGTATGGAATTTATTTTCACTGGTTTTTGACAAGTTGAATGTAAAATATAGGAAAACAGGTATATATTCGCTGGATTTTATTTTCACTGAATTAATTCCAAACGAAAATAAGTATTTTACAGTATACTGATTTGATAATCTTTTCTCATTATATGCATCTAAAACAGTGAAGTATATCAGACAACAAGCTGCCTGTTAAGACATTTGAATAAGAGACTACCAAAATTACATCAATATATGAATCAGAGTTCACCACCAAGTCGTAGTGTAGTAACGTTGACTTTTATTTCAGGGCTACTCCGAATGGAACTCTCCTTTCTCCATTGACAGTGGCTGAAGCGAGGATCGTTCTGAAAAACTGGAAATTTGGACGTGACTGGATGTTGTCTGAGATTGAACATATCATTCAAACAAACCTAACCAGTGGACTTTTCACCAATGAAGGTGAACTCGTAGCATGGGCTCTTGAAGGTTTCTATGGTGGAATTGGATTTGTGCACACATTGGAAAATCATCGACGCAAGGGTTATGCAAAGATCGTAGTAGCGGACTTGACAAAAAAAATGCTGACAGCAGGTCAGACACCGTGGGCCCATGTGGAAGACCATTCAGAGAAAGGTGTGTCAGAAAGACTGTTGGAAAGTGTTGGCTTTCTCAAGAGTGACGTCAGGCAAGCATTTATAGGTTTCGCTCCACATGGGAAAGAAATTATTTGGTGAGAAATTAGGCAATATGAAATATTCCTATGTGGCCAAACAGAGATCATTACAAAATACATATATATTTACATGAAACTGATTTTAATAAGTTTCAATCAAATGTGATGATTAGTACTTGAGATATCAATGTGAAAGCTAAAAATTGATTAATTATGCAAATAGATGATTAATATCTATGGATATTAACCTGAAAACTATCAGATCTGTGCATTGTCCTATGACATCTATGTAGCAAGTTTCATTGAAATGTGATTAGTACCTGAGATATCAGTGGCAAAGCCAAAAACTGACCAAGTCTTATGCAAATTAGATAATACTAATCAAATCCGCGCATTAGTTCAGAGCATTTATGTACCAAGTACGTAATGGTATGTTTAACAACAATGTACCTAAGCAAAATGTAATCAAATATTTTCTTCATCAGAATTTAAAATTCAGTCTTGCTGCCTTTATCCTTTCACGGTTTAACATTATGCAAAGTTATCCAGGGTTCACAACTGTAGTTTGTTTTCCATCATTGTTTTTATCATTTCTTGAATATTGTGATTGAAGTCCATATATGTAGCCTAAAATACATTGATGTTACATTGATAGTAAAATAAATAATAAGAAAAATGCCTCAACCAATCAAATCATCACTGTCTAAGGGCGACTTTTGTGCTGATGGCACCAACATTCTTTTTCATCCAGTGATTATTGGTGATGGCGCAATTCACTGACGATTGCAAAACTAATAAGTTAATATGTTTTACAAAAATATTGTCTATCATAAAATGTGTGCGATTGTATGCAGGATGCAAGGAACAACCACAATCTGCCCATATGCAGGTTACACTCGCATTAAATGCGGTTTATTTGGCAAGAATAATGTTTTTCTAGAATCATCAGCAGATCTGTATGATGGGTAGCACCCATGGATAGTCCATTAAGTGCTATCCACTCCCAACTCAGCCTATCAATGTCACTGTAGTGTAGGCTGACTTCTTCTGGCTGTTTCCTGAGTGTGCAAGTATTGAGTTGTAAAAAGGCAAAAAAAAACTTTATTCTATTTTCACTACCTGGGGTGCAGCTGGTGACTTCGCCATTGAGGGCAGTCTACCACATTAGGGAGTCTTTTTCTTAGCCCAGATAGGTTTAATTAATGGTAATAACCAATTATTGAGCAGATGCAGCTCCACTCCTCTTCTGGTTCCAAGTACAAAACTATTCACTAAAACTAGTCCTGAAATTGAGATTATTTATTCATTGTTTTGTATCTCATAACTGCAAGTTTGAGATCATTATCTACGTGATTGAGATGAAGTCACCCCACTCACATAAGCTAATATTACAGCACTGCCTGCCAATCACGGGTCGTGATGTGCATTTGTACCATTTGTAGAAGCAGCAAACACTAATATTTACACGAACAAAGAATTCATGTGCCGAAACACAAATATACCAAAAATTGTATGCTGGATTATTTAAAATATTACTATTTTGATCTTAGACACACTTCTGCCATATTTACAAAAGACAAGCCTAATAAAACCAGAAGCCTTTAAGCTAATATTGTAATAGCTCTGCTCTTTGAGAAGCACAATGTCATCCAGAGTGTGCAAGTTTAATAACACTAACTGAAAACTCTAGAAATATAACAAAAGTAATAACTTGATAGTGCATCTGTGATTATTGATCCATGGTTATCCTAGAGCATCTATTTTCATTGAAATCTAATCGGTTCTTGAGATATCTATAGAACAGCTAAAAATTGCAAAATGTAGGCAAAATTAAGATGAACAGGTTTCAATTTTTCTTCTTTAAATGAAATTTTATTTCTGGCATTAATGGTACAGAAAAAAATTGGTTCTTTTTTCTTTATGAACATAAATTAATGTTCTAACTCTGAAGATACCTGGGAACAAAACTCTTTAAGCATTACACATCCCTCAGGCTATGACAGCAAAAACATACTAGTAGCAACACTCTCTCAAATGTTTATATTAAAAAAATACTTTTAAGTTCATGTTGTAAATTAGAACTATAAATGCAGTCTTAACTAATGTGTACATTGCTGCAACCCCTCATGGTATTTATCGTTGCTACAGAATGAAATCACCCAAAATAAGACATTGCTTAATAACCACATATTTGGCATCACATTCAATTTCCATGTCTGATTTATTTTGCAGCATGTGTTTATTATGCAATTTTAAGCTCACATTGCAGTGACAAAAAAATCATGTGGTAAATAACACTAACATAAAAATATTTTAGAAATGTTTTCAAAATTCCTGAAATCTCTGTACATGTAATATACTTAAAAAGGTAGGTAAAGAGGTAAGGTTCAATGCTCAAGATCCCAAGAGAAATGCATATTTTTAAAAATAGTGAGCGCTTACATGTGTATTCACATAATTACTGCATGATGGCAAATAGAATCACATTATATTTATAACCATGCTCATTTCTGTTTTTCATAATGGAACCTGTCCAAAGTTACTGGCAATTATCTTCTGTTGCTTCTGATCAAACAAGTTTAATTATAATGCCGGCCTCACAGAAATATGTAATTTCAAATAGTGGAATTCAATGGGATGAAAATTGTACACTCATCTCTTTGTCTACATTTGGTACCTACTGGTGAAATTAGCAGAGCCTGGGGTTGCTCTACAGGTCTGAATGGATCAAATAAATATACAGAGTTTGAATGAACCCACATCAAATGAAAGTGTCCTTGGCAACATAATTCCTTCAATTTATAAAATTTATTTACAGGAAGACACCATCTCCTTCAACATATCTTAAATTTGTTTTTTTCCTTGAAGTTTGTAGATGATACTGGCAAAGGGGTTGCACCAAATAACATAATACCACTACAATAATATACATAAATCTTGATTTCTTTTGAAAATAAATGGTAGGTCTAGGCTCACTAAGCTTCAGCTTTTATAGTGGCATTCCCTGCGTCATTTGTTATTGCACAACAACTAGTCCCTCCATCAATGGCAGTGCAGTTTGAGTTGGAACCACTAGTATCTGGCATATGCCCAGCATGTGCTAGGAAAAGATCCTTGAGAAGACTTAATTCCTTCGACAGAAGTTTTACCTTCACTTCCAATTGTTCATTTTCCGCCTTCAATTCATTCACTTTTTTTAAAGTGTCTAATGTCCTCATTTTCGTCTTTGTACGACTTTTTCTCACGGCAATGTTGTTTCGTGCACGACGCTTCTTGTATTCCTCACTTTCCTTGGTAGGTTTATTTTTCTTGGTCTTGGATGCCTGATGTGGTGACTTTGTGCTGTCAGGAGCCATTACAAGTTAATAAACCACAATCACTGCAATAATACACTGCTTTATGCTCAAAATACTGAGAAGAAATTTGGGTCAGTCCAATTCTGTTATCAAATGGTGGCCTAGAACTAAAAAAAAAAAAAACAATTTAACAACAGAATACAGTATATTATAGCAGAGGATGGGCTTCCATCAATTTGTTGATGAATTACTTATTTGCCTACAAGAATTTACGTATTTTTGATCGCCACTAATGGTAATTACAAGCATGAATTATTCTGAGAAAATGGCCAGCATTTAAAAACATGTCAACAATCAAGGATTACAAATTAGAAAACTTTTTGTTTCTTATGTCTATGTTACAGTAGCATACAATGCACGGCAGAAACTTTTACCTAGTTTATAAACACATTTATGGATATCATTACATATATATTCTCACCTTTCATTATGCAATTGTGATTGGTTTAAGAACTTAACATTCTTAATGTGTCCCTGCCTTCAATCATATTTGAATGTGATGTGGTGTATGTGACCACCCACTTATTTAAATTGAATAACTATGGTTTCTGGTAGTAAAAAGTGGTAAATTTCCTAAATTGATAGAAATCATATTTTACGTTCATACACACATAACAAAATTAAATGAAATACAATTTATATGAATTTGGTATCCCTACAGACCTGTGTAAACATTTCTGGGGGACGACATAATATCTATTCAACTTATGAAAAACTTAATCAAACTGGCTTCTGGGCGACAGTTTGTAGAATTGTTGTTGTTGTTGTTGGGGGGGGGGGGTTGTATGATAATAGGTAATCGCTTCTACTAATTGGAAAGAGAGTACTCTTTCCCAAATTTTACCCAAACAGCCTGTATTTGAAGCACTGTGTTGAGTACAGAAATATACAGAATATTCAACTGCAGTTTCCAGTTTGTACTGTTGCACACCAGTGATATAAAAAAACACCCAATTCAGTATCGACTGGCAGGCTTTCCTTGGTTTACACGTGTACGTTCAGTTACAATAACAATGACGTAATTGTCGTGCGAAATTGCATGCCATAAAAAATACTAGATGTCTTTCCAAACTCAATTTAAATTCTGTCCACCGTTCGAGAATAAAATAAAACGAACATTATAAAATACACTGTTGTTAAAATCTGTCAAACACAGTCCCCCAAACTACGTGTTTCGTTAAACCATCTAGTCGGTAACGTCACACCCCCCCTAAAGCACCGCCAACACCAACGACTGAATTTTGATCAGTTCTCGGTTTGACATGTTTTGTTGAAATAAGTTTAAAAAAACAACCTGAAAGCCGAATATAATCATCATGATATACAACAATGTAATTTGTGAACAATATCAGGTTGGAGAATAATTTAAGGTGCACACAAGCAGACGGTTTTTATACTACTATGATCAACCCGATCGAAAGGCGTGACCTATTTTTTCAAACTAGACCTTTTTTGTAAATTCCAAAACAGACTCACCTAATTATGTGCCAGAACAAGAGTCAGTGTACGCGAGCGATAACAGCAAAATCAAAAATGTTCAATTACGTTGATGAACTGTAGTTTGAAAACTGCGTTTTACTCTTTTTTTTTGTCTATCAAAGGTTTCACTACGACGACGCAAATGATGCAATGTCGGCTGCCATTGCGAGTGAATTCTACCAATCACAAGGCGCGAAGAGAATCGAATGTGCGAGTCCAGTCAGTGTCGAGCAGTGTGAAAGACAGTCTTCGATTGGCTACTATTTTTGGGGGTGACAGACGACATTTAACTCAGGTTTAGAACTTACAAGGTCCCAATTACAAGTATTTAAAGCGTTTTCGTACCAAGATTGATTCGAAGATACAATATTGTTGATTTTAGTACACTTTTTTCTGAGAATTTTAAACAATTTCACGGGTTTTCAACAGCATTGCGCAATCCTCAACGAGAACGAGGCTCTACTATAGTAACTTGCTACCACATGTTCTAGTAGAGCAATCCAATCACATTGCCCTTAGATGATATCATGTACTATTTTTAGGATGTCACGTTTTCCCGCATCACATCTCATTGAGCCGCAAGGTGTTTACGCACACTAATTAAGTCCCTAAATATAATTACAGTGGCCCCCACGAATAACATAATAACGTATTTACTTATTTTGAAAAAAATATTATTGTCAGTTGCTGAAAAATGTAAGTCGAAAATCAAGGAAACGATTTGCATATGTCTGAATAATGGACCTTTTATGCGTATTGATAATTCAGTAACTAAAGTAAAAAGATATTGCTACGTAAGCCCACGTTTGGCGTGACGTAGCATTTCGTACATTCATCGACATAAGTGAACTGGTACGAAAATTTCTCGGTGAAATCGACCGACAGTACACGGTAAAATAGCCGTGGAAGAACATTATTATCCGAAGTTGCACAACCAAACCGTCAAGATAACTCCGCTAAGTGAACTAGGCTTTGATTTCGGCGAAATCACGGAAATCTCCGGCTTCAAATTCCACGACGAACTCTCACCATGCCAGTCGAACGTAAAAGCAGCAATGGATTCTCCGGCGAACTTTTACGATTCTGAGGTGGACGACACCAAACCAAAGAGTAATAATTCCGTGTTTCTCTTCGACGAAACGGTATTGGCAGATTACAGCGACATCTATCGCAACGAGGGCTCGATCGATTTCAGTTTATACCTTCAAGGCACCGCTGCCGCCAACTCGCCATCGACTACGGTGAAGAACGACGACATCTACAATGAATTAGATTTTCTACCCGCTTCGTGCAACCCGGCTTTGACAATAACCCCGACACCAACCGACAGCACGCTTCCAGAGCTCATAGAAGTAAATCAGATTGAGTCCAAAACGTCAAAGGAAGATACCGAATACATGTCTCAGATTGGCGAAAACAGAGCACCGCCGACAAGCGTCAAGACCGAGGCACAAGAGCCGGAGAAAATCGTCGTCACGATCAAGACAGAAAAGGACGCCAGTTCTCCATCTGTGTGTCAACACACCTACTCAACCTCCACACCTGAAACTCGAAATCGTCTGAAGTCCGCCCCAGCTAGCAAATCTCTCAAGGGAAAGCGTACGATCGACAAGAACAGCGAAGAGTACAGACATCGTCGCGAGAAGAACAACGTTGCAGTTAGGAGATCACGTGAAAAGAGCAAGGTCAAGCAGAAAGAAGTCCAAAACAAAGTTTCACAACTGCAAGACGAAAACGATAAACTACAGAAGAAGGTTGAACTTTTGACGAAAGAACTGACAGTTCTGAAATCACTTTTCACTAATGTTGGAGTTACCCCTCCTGTCCTCAGTGGGTCAGACTCAATGTAGTAACCTCTGTAGCAGTCGTAATTTTACCCTTGTTGGATTAACGGAGATAATGAGATCATGCATTTCAAATTATGTATTAAAATTGTGTCCCTGGCAACCACATTTATTATCATGTCAGAACACAGTTTATTTTCAATATAGACATGTTATATCTAGAGCAGTTTTTAAGTATCTATTGTTTTTTAAAGCTAGTGATGTTAGGTTAGAAACATTGTATATTCAGTATCATGGTGTGATATTAAATTATCAGTCATAATGGTATAACCTTGTTTTTAGCAGTCTTTGAATGTGTGTTGTGTGTGTTCGTTCAACATCAGAACATTGCTCCATGTAGTCTCAAAGCTTGCATTTACAATGCACAGTTTAGAATGCCTGGCTCAAAGTTCTTGGTGGTGAAGGAATGTGTGCTTTTATGTCAGTATTGTTCAAACCAGCACTTGTAGCACAAGTTAGGCTGCTGTGTAGGTGGGTGGGTGGGTTGGTTCTAGTGTTGTGAAAAGTGAAACAAAAAACTGGTAGAAAGTATGGCAAGGTCACATGCCCTTGGAGGAGCATACTATATACTAACACACCCATGGAAAAAACACTCAAAATTTTCATGCAATTACTATTCTAGGTTTAATTTAAAGATGACAAAAATTGTAAAGTCATGCTGCAATACATGGGATTTCCCCTGAAAAGGACATTTTCCTTTCAAGGCATTTCTATTCATATGCAAATTATAGTGTCTGATTGTGTTTTTCATGGTGTTGCATCACTTGAGGTCATGGGTTGCTATAGTGATTTGTATATAAATTTTCTGTTGGGAGTGTGGAAAGAATAGTTTTGCTACCATATGTGATACACCGTGAAGCATGCGACAAACATGCTGTACCCATACGGTTGTTTTCGGACTTTGCCCAGATGACACTATGCACATTGTGAGATAGGTCAAACAAAGTCAAGGTCAAAACAGGTCATGGTCACTAGCTTATTGTCATCACCCAATATTAAAACTGAGAATTTGTCACTGGTTGTACTATTTTCAGTTGTCATGGTGATCCTTCCAGCTGTTGATGAATGTTACACCATAAACTAAGTGAAATTCAGTTTTATAAAATTATGTTCAATTATTTGTCCATCTCTGTCTGTGGATACACGTATACAGTGCATCAACACTTAAAGTGGGAATAATGGTAAAATGATTGTGTACACGTAGTCTTGTGATCACCAGTCACATGGTTAGTATCCAAACCACAATTACTTTGAGTAATGCATAATGCTGAAGGAAGAAATGGCATTTACATACAATGTATTGACTCCCCTGCCAAATGGCACTTGATTTCATACTGGGTTTCCGCTAAACATTTGTCATTTGGTGATTTAATTTTAGGTTTGGCTACAACAAATTGTCATTTCAGTCACCAATGGTTCTGACTGATTTTAAACCATGAACTGTTCTGACAATATGGTCATTTAAAAACATGTCATCATTGACAAACAAGAAAAAATATAGTTAACTAATTATTATGAAGTGGACTGGTATGTTACATTAGCAGATTTCAAGTTGAAAAATTTGCACATTGCTATTTGTTTGCAATTGGCTGACCAAAGTACAAATTGTTGTGTCCTTAAATATCATCTAATTCAATAATAGGTAGAAATGTCCCTAGTAGCACTTAACTCACTGATTCTTGTGGCATTTTAGGGTGGAATCGGAACTTTTATTCAGCTGTTCCAGTTCTCACAGATGTTGTGTGTGTGACGTAAAGGTATAACAAGGAAAAGACAAATTTTCTGGTAAAATACAAAATATATTTAATTCAGCTTTGAAAATCAATATTAAAACAGTGATATAACAAAGTGTAAATATTTATAATTACAGCCTGAATCGCAGACACAAACTTTATAACTGTAGTATTACAGTTAAATTCATGGCAAATTTAGTAAGGATTAATTAAAATAACAATAACTTTTGTGTGAGTATAGATGCCATGTGTAGTGGTTAAATTACAATTTATAAAATACTGCTTTGTGTACTGTACAGAATGTATTTTGTAACCTAAACCACTCATAATCAAAAAGGCTAGAATGATTATGAGTACACTCATGACCAAAAAAATGACAATACTGTGGAATACTTTATTTTCGCTGGAATTAATTTTCGCTGAAAAGGCTTTTTGTATGGAATTTATTTTCACTGATTTTTGATGAGTTTAATGTGAAATATAGGAAATAAAGTATATTCGCTGGATTCTACAGTATTACCATAGTAACTAACATACCTATCATTGGTGCCAAAGCATGTTGGTGTATGTGTTAATACTGCTTACATACGACTGTTCATTTCACATGTGCGAGAACCACTCCTTCCCTCCCTGAAACCTTGATATACTGTAAAATACTTCATTTTAGCTGGAATTAATTTTTACTAAAAAGACTTTGCGTTTTTTGTATGTATTTTATTTTCACCGATTTTCGATGAGTTGAAAGGTGAAATATAGAAAAAAAAAGTATATTAGTTGAATTTTATTTTCACTGAACCATCCCTTCAGCAAAAATAAATTCAGAGCGAAAATAAAGTTACAGTACTATGAATACAAGGGTACTCCTCCTGAGATATAAAGACAATTTAACAATGCCCTTCAAGTCCATATGAGGTGTGACAGTTGTAAAAGTATGTGAGTAGTCGATACAAGTATGGGCCGAACTGTTTAACTGAGGGGCAATGCAGCCCTCAATCCATTGTTATACACGTGGTACCCATAATGCAATGCAGGCATCTTGCATCCACCTATGAAATCGATATTATAGACATTCAAAATGTCACAAGCTTCAAACTCTAGTTGACAATGTATTGAATAAACATCCATTATCTAAATTTGGATTTCTTCTAAGACTATCTGCTTCTTTGATGAAGATTCTTCCAGTAAGGCAAGTACAAAGCATTTCAACGAATCAAGTGATTTACCCAGAATGCACTGCATGTCATATCCATCTTCAGAGTCATCAGAGTCTGAGAGTAATTTCTCTATAGTACACTGCAGCAACTAGAGGCAACCAAAATTACAACCTTGAAGGTTATTTCTCATGAAGGGAAGGATGATATTGAAAAATTTCATGAAACCATGGGAAACCTTACCTTTCTTGATACATTCTGTATTTTCATACAGAAAAAGTACAATAAATAATTTTTAGAGGTTTTATACTATTAGTAAAAATAATGGAATATTTACCTTAACTTTGACAGTCATATTTTTTAACTGTGAACATTTTACGTATACTTCTAAATTCATTTTAATTTGTGGACTGGTTACACTTCTGTCACAATCATTACAGTGTAACTGTGTGACACTGAAATGAACAAAAAAATAAATTCTTAGCATGTTAGACAAAAATAAATATATACTGGGTAGTATATAGGTTGTAAACAAAAATAATGTTCATAATGTAATATGGTGCCACTTCCTTTTGAAAGTCACTCTCATCCTAGTCTTAACATGTTAGGGGTGTTACCACATTTCACAGTCTTAACACAAACAGATAACATTTTTACAGTTAGAAACATTGATTATTATTGAGCTGTGATCATGATAGCATACAAAATAACAGTTCATTGGTTTGTTATGAAATATAAGTGAAATTAAACTTATATATATATATAACCAATCAGAATGCTGGAAGAGCCAGATGAACGAATTCAGAAATATTTTAATAGCAAGACAGAAGTGCTTTACAAAAGTTGCGATTTGTTAAAAAAAAAGGGGGAAATTTGGATTTTCGGAAAATAAACTCATCATTATAGAAGTATTTAACACTTCACATTGATAACAGCTCAGAAAAGATTGAAATGTTCTAAAAATGATTCCTATGTTACCATGTTTGTATATAATAAACCAATTATGCTATTTATAACCAACTTTTTTATCAATTATCAGTTGGCTACTATCTTGCGATAGTCAGGTACCTACTTGTCATCTTCTCCACCTTGTAATCTTTCATTACCACAGACATCACAAGCTGGCCATGAAAATGCAGTGGATTCATCAACACCATATATAACACCTACAGACATGGCAAAACAAATTTTTATCAACACATTACAAGCTGAAAACCTATAGTCCTTTGTGCTTGACCCACTTTTAATGAAATTTATTGATGCATTTTAAACCATTGAAAGTTCTGCCAGATGAACTTCAATATAAAGGTTCTGATTATTTGCTGATTGATACCTATCATCAACAAAAACACACAACGGGAGTGTTAGCATGAATTAAAATCATTTCTGCACCTAATTCTGATATAATATACATGAACATTTTTGTTTTGGTCTGAATGGTCTCAATAATTAGGAAAACTAGCAAGTAAACATTTATATTAGGGAATTAATAATCAGAAGCACAAACCTTCAAGTTCCACCAGGGAGTGGGTTTTAATTTTCATATCTACTAGTATTTTTGGTAAAACAATCTGCAATTTCCCAGAAAACTCTTTAGCTAGTTCATCACCAATGTGCATTGTGTCAGCTTCTAGTGATGTCGTAGGATCAGATGCAGTCAGAAAGACTCTACTACAAACATCAGCATACATATGTGAAGGATTATCTGAAAAAAATGTAATTTAATGTAATGTTCTTTTCAAGTCCATGTCAACTGGTATTATTTTCTACATAATAATTTTAAAATGTGGCAATAACCTGGGGAAAATCAGGAAACCATAGAAAGAATTCCCATGCACCGAAGGCTTGAAGCCCAAATAGGGAATATTTAAAATTACCGGATTCGGCTGATACCCCGCCCATCCTAAACCCTGCCCATGGGCGATGTTTCAAATAGTGGGCGATGTTTTGGTCCACACATTGTCTGACTGAACCAACAAACATTTTTACAGACCCCAATTTTCCCGTCCGACATCTTGTATCGAGTGCGCTATTTCAAATATGACGCTAAAATAATTCACTGTGAAGCCGAAAAGCATTAAAAACTTCAATAAAACCAATGGGCGAACTAAAATGTCTCCTGCGTTTCACATGCGACATGATTATTAAAAAACACAGAGTTAAGCGATCATGTACGTTCTATAAAGCTAACCTTGTACACATAATCTTGTACTGACGTGTTTTTTCTCCAAAAAAGACGTTCTCTTTTAGTTAACCCCCAGTTAGCTTTTCGCGTTCATGGTATTTGTGAGAGTTGAAAGATTTTTTGAACACATGACAAGTAACTATATTGATTTACGTACGTTACGTCATGTACGTTCTATAAAGCTAACCTTGTACACATAATCTTGTACTGACGTGTTTTTTCTCCAAAAAAAGACGTTCTCTTTCAGTTAACCCCCAGTTAGCTCTTCGCGTTCATGGTATTTGTGAGAGTTGAAAGATTTTTTGGGTGGCTCGAATTTAACTATCAGTGCGTGAACTCAAACCCGTGGTTATTAGAGTTCAGTCGAAATGTACGTGAATATTATTGCGATCGAGTTTATTATATTATAGTAAAATTTAACTTGACGCATGGTATGGTTTATATTACATGTTCACTTTATTTTGAATAAAAAAATCACCATTGGAACATTGGTGAATCACAAGTATTTAAAATATTTTCTTGACTTTCCATAGATACCCGACTACTATCATTTTTAATGATTTAAATGCGCCAATGTTTATGTTTGCATAATTATTACGAATGCAACGCATTATCAAGTCGGTAATATTGAAATATTCACAGACCCAATACCCCGGGTCAGTGCCCTAACAATAGTAAAAATTAACTTGAGTTTGCGTAATTATCATGAAAGCAATACATTTAATACAAAGTTGAAATATTCAGAGCTGGTACAATATTGTAAACAAATTTGCGTAATTAGAAAAGCAGTGCACTAAGTAAACGACGTTGATATATTCAAAGCCAGTACATAGTTGCATACAAGTTGCGTAATTACAGTACCGTCGGATATAAGGAAAATTTTACTAGATCGACGTGCGCACCGCAAAAGAAAAAGGTTGCTAAGGTAACGCGCCAGTTCAGCGCGTGAGTTGGGGTCAAACTTCGGTCAACACAGGGGGGGGGGATTGGCACGAGAGGGCGCCATCCAATCTGAATGGAACGTTTCGACGTCAGTCGTCCGTAGCCATCATCAAAGCAACAACGTCCCGTTTACGAACAGATGAAATAATTTCAGCAATTTCTTTACAGAATAATCCTCAACAAAACTTAGAAACATTTCATAGACAACTACAGGCTCCAAAATTATTGTCTATTGCAAAACAATTCAACTGACAACCAGTTTGACGCCACAATTTCTTGCTGGAGCCCGAGTTCTATGCGTGATTTTATTGCGTTCAAAACTGTTCCATTTCAAACTGCGCATGCACAAACACTGTGGTTTCTCGAAATGCATGCTAATTAGATAACTTGTCACTGATAAAAGTCACCGAAAACATTTTGAGCAATTTTGAGCAATAGTACTAGAGTGAAATTTAAACGTGCCTCTGCATTCTCCATGAATTTCGTAACTTGCTATGATCATGGTAAAGAGAAAACCTATGCTTACTTTCAACAGTTAGCTGGAGTCGAATCGAAAATGTGTCTCAAAAAATACCTTTACATCATTTTTCCGAATATTTGTTCAGCTCGTAACGATAGAATCAGTCAATTTAGAACTAACATGTATGCTATCGGAAAGCATTTTGGCACAATATTACTGAAAAAACGAGTTTTTCATTGCTCATGAATATTAATTTATGCAAATGAGACGATTATTTCAACCAATCGTGTCATGCAACTCCCCCCCTGGGTCAACACACACTTGATGCCAGCATCACCGCGCAGCAAGTTTCGCAAAGAAGTACTTCAAGTTCAATTGCGTCCCAAAATTATGTCGCTAATCACTCGGTTGTCGCAGCGTGTGTTGTGTCATGTCCATGATGCACCCCGTTTCGACTTGCTTTTCCTTTTTAGTGCATGTTCTTGTTCACGTAAAATTCGACCTCTCACCAATGTTTTAAAACACTTTGAATTTATACTTTGCATGATTATATTTGGTCAACGCGAAACATTATTTTTTCTAGACCATTTCTATCAATGCAGGGTTATTTTTTTAGACAAGATGGGCCTCGTAATATCTGCCATCTTTTGGTCAACATTTTTCTAAAAAAAAATCGAATCCTCCATAAGATCGCCCAGGGTGGGGTATCAGCCGAATCCGGTAATTACAAATTGAAATCTGAGTAGTTGTCATCAAAAAATCAGAAAATAGTTTATAAGAAAATAATTTATGCTAATTAGATTATTAATATTCATCCCTTTCAACCTTAAAGTATTCATGGCTGGATTATCCAAGAGCACCTATGTACCAAGTTTCATAACAAATTGATGAGTGGCACTGTAGTTATATGTGAAACACCTATAAATTGGCTAATTTATGCAAATTAGAAAATTAGTATGCATGGAATTCCACCCAAATCTAGCCACATTGGTTCTTGCAATATATGCAGCTGAACTTTGGCCAATTATTATACAAATTAGAAAATTAATATGTATAAACAGATTTCAACCCAAATGTACTAAAGTTACATTGAAATCTGACAAGTGGTTCTTGAGATGTCTGTCAGCCAGATTGCAATGCAGAAAACAGCACAGTTTTAGTCACACAAAATGATAAAGCCTGCCCTTTTGGTGCCTCCTAAACATTTAGCTAGTTTTGTGATAGCTGGCCAAGAGGGAGCGATACCATTTTACAAAATGGAGCAATGCCATTTTGTTTTAATGAATGCAGTTCTAGTGCCATATCTTTGACATGCTTTGACAAATGTTATACATGTATATTCATTATAATCATGTCATAGGTATACAGATTTATTGGTTTGACAATCCAATTCAAAATGGCCGAATGGTGGCTATTTTTGTGCAAAAAATCAAGTATTTCTGGCATTCCAGAACCAGACTGCGGCCATTTACAGATGGATTTTGTTCAAACATGGTACATACATTAGACATTATTGAACCTTGATGCACATCATTTTGTTTTTCAGATCAGATTCAAAATGGCTTACTGGTGGCCATGTTGTTTTAAGAATGCAGTTCTAGAGCCATATATCTGCATGCTTTTAATAATTATGTTCAAATTTTATATATTCATTATACATGACATAGATAAACAGATGTATTCATTTGAATATCTGATTCAAAATGGCTTACTGGTGGCCATTTTGTTTTAATGAATGCAGTTATAGAGCCATATCTCTTGACATGCATTTTCAACAATATTGATACAGCGATCACAGACAAAACACAAGACCTAGTTCACAAACACTATAGCATTTGGACTGACAGTTATTTTAGTTAAGGGTGGCGATATGTTAATCATATACCTACCAATGGCCTTCTCAAAACAAACATCTTGCAAATAGACCACCTGTCCAGCAGTGAGAGCTTGTCTCACAGAACCCAACAGGGTACAGGAACTAGTGATATGTACATATACATATGGCCTTGGCTTGCATATAAACTTGTCATTCATATACAATGATGAATCCGTGAAAAATATGTGGTAGCCACCCATGTAGGTTTGTTGATTCTCTTCTCCAGTGTTCCCATCTGATCTGATGTAAACAAGTTTGCCATATATGCACACTCTGCAGTGCTTACATTCAAGCTATTAAATACAGAAAAACAATCAGATGAATGTATGTGGTGACAGAGAAGTCAAGATATATACCGTATTACCCCGCACGCGCCCAGAGGCCTGAACGTACAAAATCGGGAAAAATTGGGGGTGGGCGCTTACCCGATTTGTGATCGTATGATAAGGTCAAATAAAGGAATGCTTTCGTACACTTTGTACACGTACTTATTTTTTGATTTATGCGAGGTTTCAATAAATGTGAGCACTCGGTCAAGAACTGTGGGAACACTAAGACACAGGGTCGAATTTCAAGAATAAAACTTGTTTTATGTCAGCGAATGAAGTTGTATTACTCACTGAAATTGACTACAAACATGTTAAGTATTGTAATCAATGCACGGTTACATTTTTAGTAACCGTGATCACTGCAAGTCGAAACGGCCGGGAAAAACTACCGCTTGTAATCCAAGAAGGCGATGACCTCATTAGCATAATTTTGTTCACACATGTATTGATACATCGCATCGTAATTACTGAAGAATACAGACAGGGTTATGAAACAAAAATAAACTTTTATTACTGATGTGAAATGTTTACAAACTATTGTGAATACATAAACATATCCAAATGGCGATACATAAAAAACAGACTGAAAATAAACTCTGGTCGACCTCATTAACATGATTTATTCACGCACCCACACACGTGACAAAATTACAAAAATAACGATGATGCAACAAGTTCCCATCGTCGGCATGCCTCATTATGGTTATCGTGATGGACTTGAGGTCGGCAAAATGTTTTTTCTTCAACAACAGAAAAATAATCCACATGCTGTGATGAAGGATGGAAAGAAAGTAGCAAGTTTACGACGTGATGTCTCAAAAGTGCGAGCTCCCATTATGGATTCACAGTCAGCGAAATGCTACGTTTTGAAACCAAAGCTAAGTGATTCAAACTACTCACCAAGGTATGGATCGTTGCAATATTGCAATATTGGATTCATCGTGAATGAAGAGAAAGCAGAACGTGTGCGCCACATGCTGCGTGGTTCATCTTACGTTGTTAAGTTCCAATGCGTTTTTACGTAAAAACACAAACAAAGCGGCTCTTTTCAGGGCCACCACACACTCCAAAAAGAGAACTACCGTAACAAACATACTATTTAAATAAATTGAACGCGTTCGTTTTTGAATATTGACAAATAAAACTTTATTGTTGACCCCGTTCTTGGCTAAAAATCACCCTGGGCGTTTAACCGAGGATGTCCCCAACATGTAACTTTTGTGAAAACAGGGGGTGGGTGCTTGCCCAGGGAGGGGCGCGTGCCCGGGGTAATACGGTAAGTGATTGAAGTCATTGAATATTCTGTAGGAAGCTGATATTTTAACGAAGCATAAATTTTATCTATCTCTATTCTTGTTAGGTTCATAATTACAGAAATATGGAGAATAAACACAGAAAAAACTTGCATATGTGGAGATTATTTAACCAAGCAAAAAAGTAAATGAACTACGACCTAACTAATACTCCTCCCTGTTTACGTCTCGCACTATCTCGTGTTATTTGATGAAATAATAAAGGTCATCGCCTTATTACGTTATAGTTGTGTTAGTTGATCGGTTGTTTATTCGATTAAAAACAAACATGGCACGCATCTGACCAAAGGAAAAGCCACGTACTGTTGCTAGTCTGTCTATAGTAGTCTGAGATTATACAAGTACATGTTAGTATACATGTCTATGACAATTTGTTTTACAACTGGATCAAAGATGGCTGACTTGTGGCTGTCTTGCTTTTGGCCGTACTGCTACATATATATCTTCAAAACTTATAGACCATTTTCATATTTGGTACACACATCATACATGTTAGAATACAGGTCCATCATATGAAAAATTCAGCTTACAACTGATTTTTAATCCGTGTCAAAAACATATTTTCGACAGTGCCTAATTCATAGGATAAACACCCAATGTCAGCAAACCAAAGGTATGTTTCTAATGCATACTTTTTGGTATAAAAAAACGGATAAGCGTACACACTATTACAATATTGGAGCCATGCACTTTACTTGAGTTTTGATACAAAAAAATGCATAAATATGAAAAATAGCAAATAGAAATATATTAGATTGCAAATTTAGATGTCATTTAGTAAATCTGATTTTGTTGACACTACAATGTAGATTATATTCACTGCCTGACTATACACTACAAATTCATCCTGAAATGTAAACATGACCAGTTATTTGCATATCCAATTTGATTTGCATATATTATGCATGTAGCAATACATGTCCATAACAATTCAATTTGTGATTAGATAAAAGACAACAGGCTTGCGGCCATCTTGCTTTTTGGTAATATTACTTTATCTTAGACATCAATAACATTTCCCCTTATTGCAACAGGGACTTTGTCATTAACATTGATTAATTTGTTTACTTGTTTATGATGTAATGGTTCAGTTTGATGGTCCTTGTAAGGTCATTGCAATTTAATGGGACTTGTTTTCATTGGTATATAGACAAAGTCTGTAAAGGTGGCCTGCTATTTTCTACAATATTCATATTTAACAAAAAAATGTATTGTTTTCGTCACAAGCAAGCATATTTGAAACTTAGGTTAATGTTCCTACAACATACATGTACATTTGAATACTACATGCTAAAATTAAACCCAGCAAGTTAGTTTTCCTACATTGTAGCATAGCAAGTTAGTCTTCCTACATTGTAGCATAGCAAGTTAGTCTTCCTACATTGTAGCATAGCAAGTTATTCTTCCTACATTGTAGCATAGCAAGGTATTCTTCCTACAATACATCGTAGCATAGCAAGTTAGTCTTCCTACAATACATCGTAGCATAGCAAGTTAGTTTTCCTACATTGTAGCATAGCAAGTTATTCTTCCTACATTGTAGCATAGCAAGTTAGTCTTCCTACATTGTAGCATAGCAAGTTAGTCTTCCTACATTGTAGCATAGCAAGTTAGTCTTCCTACATTGTTAATGTAGCATAGCAAGTTAGTCTTCCTACATTGTAGCATAGCAAGTTAGTCTTCCTACATTGTAGCATAGCAAGTTAGTCTTCCTACATTGTATCATAGCAAGTTAGTCTTCCTACATTGTAGCATAGCAAGTTAGTCTTCCTACATTGTATCATAGCAAGTTATTCTTCCTACATCGTAGCATAGCAAGTTAGTTTTCCTACATTGTAGCATAGCAAGTTATTCTTCCTACATTGTAGCATAGCAAGTTAGTCTTCCTACATTGTAGCATAGCAAGTTAGTCTTCCTACATTCTAGCATAGCAAGTTAGTCTTCCTACATTGTTAATGTAGCATAGCAAGTTAGTCTTCCTACATTGTAGCATAGCAAGTTAGTCTTCCTACATTGTAGCATAGCAAGTTAGTCTTCCTACATTGTATCATAGCAAGTTAGTCTTCCTACATTGTAGCATAGCAAGTTAGTCTTCCTACATTGTATCATAGCAAGTTATTCTTCCTACATTGTAGCATAGCGAGTTAGTCTTCCTACATTGTAGCATAGCAAGTTAGTCTTCCTACATTGTAGCATAGCAAGTTAGTCTTCCTACATTGTAGCATAGCAAGTTAGTCTTCCTACATTGTAGCAAAGTTAGCCAGTGAAGTTCATTACTCAATATGAATTACTGCTATTAAATTTGAGACTTGCACACCACTATCTTCGTGGAATATTTTTCACACTAATTGTTTTTTTTTTCTTTTTTGTAGCTGGTCCAGTAGAAGAATGCAGTGAAGATAATAATTTTCAATGTCCTGATGGAAACTGCATACCTAAGGTGTTACTATGTGATGCACATAAAGACTGCAGTGACGGTGCTGATGAATCTCAATGTGATTGTAAGTACTATGTCATCTATGTATTTCTTGCCTCTAACCATTTGGGTACTACCGTATGTTGTATTATGCCAACATTTCGGTGTAATATTTCGCCTATTTTTAGCGCTGCTGTCAACTTAGTTGACAGAACAGAGCTGTTCATATTACTGATCAGGGATCTGGCCAGCTGGTCGGCCCAACTGACGTTCAAAATTATTGACCATCAAATGCTTCCGACCAGGAAAATTGTAATATGATTATAAAGTTGGCAACTCATTGTTTGTAAGTAAACATTTTCTGACGATACACAAAGTTTAATTTGAAATCTAAAATTCTGTCAAAATCAATTTCAATCTGATATAACATGATCAAAGCAGAGTTCACAATTTGTTTATGCTACTCAAATAAAAACAATATGTTTATTGCGTGAATGGGTAAAATACATTTCAGCTCAAAATCGAAACTGTTTTTCCAACTTTTACCTTTTAAAAATTGCTAATCACCGCTTTCAAAATCCAGCATGCACTATGAAATTCATGCCAACACATTATGCTACATCATATTATTTCCGCAATGCAAACATTATGATCATTACCATTCGGAAAACATCACATTTAATCGGCAAATTTTCTTTGTATTTCATATCAAAACTAATACATTTTGTGTGTAATAAGTAACATGGCATCATGACCGAGTAAGAGGCATCATTGGTATATTTATCATTTGATTACTGGTACAAAATGTATCCAGAAAAGTCAAACGATCAAAGACTAGGTTTTATGATTAGCCAAGCTTGACCCGGCTGAAAATATGTAGGGGGGGGGGGGCACCTGAACATGGACATAAATAATGACTGTGGTAGGTTCAATATACCTAGGTAATGATATCTTCAAATTGTTCTGAATATTTTTGTCATCTTTGGAATTTTCAATTTTCTTGAAAATGGCTATTCCAATTGCTTTGATGCATGTACCGTACTTGACCGCGTTAGCGCCCATGCCCGGGCAAGCACCCACCCCCCACTTTTGCGCAATTTTTGACTCCCATGTGCGAAGCACAAAATGGGAGTCTTTGCAGTTAGTGTGTCTGTATGTGTGTGTGTGTGTGTGTATGTGTGTATGTGTGTCCGACTGTTCCACTGCTATCTCAAGAACCATACATCGGTTTTTGATGAAACTTGGTGCATAGATGCTCTGGGCCAATGCGCAGATTTGATTAGGTTTTGGTAAAATTTCATGCTCGTTAATTACCTAATTTGCATGATAATTAGCTAATTTTTAGCTGTTCTATGACTGTTCCACTGATATCTAAAGAACCACTCATTGGATTTTGATGAAACTTGGTACATAGATGCTCTGAACATATGCGCAGATTTGATTAAGTTTTGGTGAAATTCCATGCTCGTTAATTACCTAATTTGCATGATAATTAGCTAATTTTTAGCTGTTCTATGACTGTTCCACTGATATCTAAAGAACCACTCATTGGATTTTGATGAAACTTGGTACATAGATGGTCTGAACATATACGCAGATTTGATTAGTTTTTGGTGAAAATCCGTGCATATTAATTAACTAATTTGCATGATAATTAGCTATTTTTTAGTGGTTCCATGACTGTTCCACTGATATCTAAACAACCACTCATTGGATTTTGATGAAACTTGTTACATAGATGCTCTGAACAAATGCTAGGTTTTGATTAGTTTTTGGTAAAAATCCGTGCATAGTAATTAACTAATTTGCATGGTAATTAGCTATTTTTTAGTGGTTCCATGACTGTTCCACTGATATCTAAACAACCACTCATTGGATTTTGATGAAACTTGGTACATACAATGTAGATGCTCTGAACAAATGCTAGGTTTTGATTAGTTTTTGGTAATAATCCGTGGATACTAATTACCTAATTTGCATAATGAGTAGTCAATTTTCGATTTTTCCTTTGATATCTCAAGTACTAATCATCACATTTCAATGAAACTTGGTACATAGATGTCATATGACACTGCACAGACCTGATAATTTTTATGGTAATATCAG